GTGTGTGTGTGTGTGTGTGTGTGTGTGTGTGTGTGTGTTGCTGGACGTGACCTCTGGGGGCTGGTCCAGGGCCACCAGACACCCGCTGGTTCTCTCTCTCTCGCTCTCTCTCTCTCTGCTCCTCCCTGACCTTTGACCTCTGGGTGAGAAGGGGGCGTGGGCCAGGAGCTGGGAGAGTTTATTATTTCCTGCCTCTTCTCTCCTCCTCTTCTCATGTTGCCCTCTGAGAGAGAGCGAGGGAGCAAGATGAAGAGAGTGAGAACGAGTGTGTGAATAAAGCATCTGTGTCTCATTGGCTGGATCACAGAGGAGCGAGTGTCTGCCCTGCATCACTCACAGCCAGCGGTGAATCTTTGGATAATTGATGGATCATTGAAGTCATTTATCAAGCAAAATTTAAAACGTGTTTTCTTCCAGATTGTCCAGATTTTCATCTTTTGTATTTTTCATAATCGCAAATTGGATATCTTATCTTATATTTTTGAGTTTTCAAAGCCTTTTTAAAGAATCTGGGCAGTTTTTTCACCTACTCAAACCTGCAGAGGAGGCTAAACATCTTGACCTGTTTGATTGTTGCCCAGATTAAACTTGGTTTAGGTGGTAGAAACCAGCACAGCTTCAGTGATCCCACGCAGATATCATCCTTTTAATTTGACCCACCCCTCAGCCTTTTCGCTATCGTCTGCGAGTCGTCGAAGCACCAGTGTGAATATCACAGCTGGACGGCCATTGTCCCTCTGGCCTCAGGCTCAAACCCTGCATCAACCAGTAACCTGGGATCAAAGCTGGCCCGGATTACTCTTAGCAAAAGAAGGGAGGAGGTGCCACAGTTCGGAGGGGGTCGGGTTGAAAAGGATCGAGGAATGCTCCTAATTACGTCCCCTCCACTCCTTTTCTGTCTCTCACACCGGCTCTTCTCTTGTCTGCCCGTGTGTGTCTGGGCCTGCACTTCAGGCTACAGTGAACCTGTGAGGGAGCAACACAGTGTGACAAGAGAGTGATATTAAGAGCGAGGCGACAGTCTCTCCAGAGCCACTCCATTAGCGCGAGATCTTAGCAGCCCAGTGTGAGAGGGGCAGGGGGGCCGAGAGGCCTCCATGGAGACAGTGAAGTGGGTGAGAGGACGGGTCACAGGACAGGGAGGGAGCTGGAGATCAAGGAGTGTGTAAAGAGGATGTGTTGTGAAGATCAGAGAGATTGTCGTATAGAATTCATTTGGAACCGACTGGATTTTTCCCCCTGCTCACATGTTTCAAAGTTTATTTCTGTCTCGTGCACATGCTGTCATGCCTCCAGGCCGAGCTCTAGTTTGATGTGTTTCTCATCTCTTCTGTTCATTGCAGGTTTGCAGAACAGACGGAGACGTACGTGCTGGACAACACGGCTGCTGACAGGGGTCAAAGTACACCATGGACAGTGGCCTAAGGGTCCTCCTGTCCACTGTGCTGTGTCTCAGCCAGTCTCTGCTCATCAGCTGCTCATGTAAGTTGCTGTCTTATCTTTATATATAACTTGTATATGAATGTATATAAACAGGACAAGTGTTCACACTTTTAGAAATAGTGTTTGTAGAATAAAGCCATGGTATCAAATACCAATACACCTGAGTCAATCTCAGCTGTCAATCATGATGTCTCAGCCTATCAAATAATTGATTAAAATCAATAGTATCAGGAAAATTAACATTTGAACAAACATCAGCGTGATAAGAGTCTCTTCAAATGACAGAAAACCTCTTCGGGAATATTATTTTTGACATGTACTGGTTTGTGGGGTGGCCACAAGGGGGCAATCCAGATGTTTTGGCTTCACCTTTGGGGAGTTGTCATGTGATAACGTGCCATTTGATAATCCTGTATTGGGGCAAAAAACAATTAATGTTTGTAATTTAAACTATTTGACCATTTATAACAAAATTATTGATTTATAATTATAACTAAAAAAACCTCTTGTTTTTCTTTGTTCTTGTCTCCACACCAGCTCAGTACCCATCCTTTAGCTATGAGCCTGCCTCCTTGGTTCAGAGTCGAGGCTCCGTAGCTCGTCTGCACTGCTCAGTAAATCCTCCGTCAGCCACGGTATCCTGGCGCTTCAGAGGCCGTCCCCTGGATCAGGACACCCTGGCTGATGTGGAGCTCAATGGAGGCTCCCTCACCATACCCTTCCTTAAGCCAAGCCACGCTGGCATCTATCAGTGTGTGGCACGCTTCGACCACGGGCCGGCCATCGCCAGTCGCCTCGCGCGTGTTGACATAGCAGGTACGGATACAGAGAATTACCCCTCTGTGCATACTTGTGCTCACTTCAAAGCAGTGTGGTGAAGAAAGCAAGGAAGCTGCCTTGAGAAAGGGAAGGCCATTTTGTAAGTGTTGAACACTCAGAAGGAATGCCTTTCTGCCTGCCTGCTGCTGAGTGGTGGAGGGGAAGGAAGCAGTAGGAGTTTTTACTCGGGCACCCATCCAGATGCCTCTTGACCGGTATCCTTAATGAGCCTTGGGCTTTCCTGTGTGGTGTGTTATGTTCCTGCTGGGATGCCGCTTGCTGTTGGACACAACACTCAGGGGTTGACCCTGATCTACAACTGTATGAAGCTAAATAGAATCACTCAGTGCAACAATACACAAACCCAGTGATCCAACACAAACAGCCCGAGAAGCACTGTCGGCCTTCACTCTGCACTGCGCCGCAGCTCAGCTCAGATTGAATGTTTCACATTCTGCAGAAAACCAAGTTTGACTAAAGAAATCATCTTTTTCTTTGAACATGCAGAAATATCAGAATATGAAGCTGGCAGACGACGGTCGTTATCAGTGCAGGAAGGCAGCACGGTTCTCATAGAGTGTCCTTTACCGCACAGCGTCCCTGCAGCACGCCCCAGACTGAAAGTTCAAGGAGAGTGGATGGAAGCGTCAACAGGTTTGTATGAAACAAGATAATGTTTTTGGTCGAATCTTTTCATGAATTTGGGGCGTTGGTTATGCTAATTAGCATGCACTGCAGTGCGTGATTTTTCAAATATGCACCGATGGCATTCATCATGTTTACACACATCATTCGCACTGAAGATAAAAGCATATGTTGAGTCTGACTCTTCATGTTCATATGAACTCACCACACCATCAAACGTAGGAGACATTTAAGAATATGTTCATGCATGAGGCCCAGTATCTTGAATCTGTGTGTACAAGTTGTCTGTGTTATTATTGAAAATACTTTATCCTTCTCTTTCCAGGTATTTATTTAGTTCTTCCATCTGGAAACCTTCAGATTATCTCCGCTTCAGTCCAGCACCAGGGGATGTACAAATGTGGTGCATTAAACCCTGTCACCGGGGAAACCGTCTTGCAGCCTCATGGTACCAAGTTATCAGTGAAACGTAAGTCAGATGGTATTTCATTAAGACTCAGAGGCCTTTATTTATCAGCTGTATTTTCTGTTATTGTCTACTAACGTGGGACATTTGTACTTTTAGATGTAGACACCCCCTCCTCCTCAGTGCAGATAGTTTACCCCACTGCCCCTATGACGGTTGTGGTGGAGCAGTCGCAGCCTCTGACACTGGAGTGTGTCGTGTCTGGTCGTCCTGCACGGGCAGCCAAATGGTTCAAGAATGGTAAGGAGGTCACACCGGGTCCTCATCGCCAACAACAGCACAACAACCTGGCATTTGTGATGGTGACGAGGAGCGACGAAGGGAGGTACACCTGCGTTGCTGAGAGCGAGCAGGGGAACGTGGTCAGCGCCAACTACACTGTGAATGTCCTTGGTGAGACAAAGAGAAGAGAGTTTCTATGTGGAGACTTGTTTCAACAAGTGGTTACAGAGGTTAACGTCTCGTCCTCTCCTCCACAGAGCCTGTGTCTGTCGTCAAGGGTCTGACAGACCAGCTTGTCTCTCCTGGCTCCAATGCTTATTTTACCTGCACGGCGAAGGGAAACCCCTCTCCAAACATCACCTGGCTGTTCAACGCTGATCCCATCATGCCATCACGCCACTTTCAGATCTCTGGATCCTCACTCGTTATTACAGACGTGACACCACAGGATGTAGGCGTTTTCCAGTGTCTGTTGGACAACGGGATCGGGTCGGCACAGTCACACGGAATGCTTACAACACAATCAGGTAAATATCCATGAGTTATCTTATACTGAGTTGTTCTATTGGAGCTATCTCTGTTTTTCTATTTTTTTTTTTTTGCTGAATATGCTTGAATATTGGAGACACAATAGCTGAATGGTTGTGGTCTGAAGATACTGCTGCTGATACTAAAGGAAACAGTTCTATAAAATCCTTGATTTCTTGCTGGTGTTACAAATAGTAAAGGCATCATAGCAGGCAGGTTCTCTGTGGGCCTGCACGTACAGTATCTGCAGGGAGTCCTTGCTGTGTGTGTGTGTGTGTGTGTGTGTGTGT